AGTGTAACTGTTTTGTAAAATTAGATCCTTATGAGTAGCTGCAAAACATTGTATACATTAGCAATTTAGGGTTTTAACGCTGCCTCAGTGTAGCAATATTGCAAGAAACTTAGAAAATTCCTAATTGATCCTTGGTTTCAATGTCTTCTACGTATATTTTATTTGCTTTCTCAGCAGTGATGGCTGTCTTTTTTACTGCAGTAGATAAAGCGTGCATTATTTGAACAAATTTAAGGGAAAAAATAAGTTTACCTGGGCGGTTGAGTTACGCTTATTTGATAGGAATGCATGCCCGTACTTTATTAATGATAAGAACTTAAGAACTATTCAACCGTGTCTCACGAAACTTGACTATTAACACCATATCTTGTCAAGGCTGGGACGCCTTCGAGAAGTATAGCGCAGCTGTGCCAACAAGCATCCTGTATAACGGGTTCGAAAATATTCAACTATGGCTGGGAAAATAACATACACAGACATAATGTGCTTGGACAGCGTTGAAATCGATTTGAAATAACCCAGTTTCGAAAAGGATGCCTCTATATGTTACTCAGATTACACGTATACGTTAAACAACTCGTTTGATGCAGTCATCAGTAGAAGTACAAACACAAACCTTCAGTTCATCAGGTAGTGCCGACCCATCATGCTCGACTAAACCGTCCGATACAGATTGCCGCTCGGGAGTTGAAGTAACCCACGCTGGAGGTTCAAAGGGAGCGTTGGCTCGTACGCGATCGGAAACGACATCGATTACCAGATCCTCTGCCTCTGCCACATTCAGGCTGTGCAGTGAGGATGCATCATCCTGAATAGTGTCCGCGTTCTCCTCGTCTGAATTGGCATTCATAACGTGATTGAGAACGGCCAATGAACTGGCCAAAAGCGATTGCGTGACCTATAGATGAAGAAAAAATACAGCTGGGTTGAACAGAATAAATTTTAATGTGCAACGAAACGAACAATTTTCATTATTAACAGTAGAGGAGGGCTCGCGAGGGGAAAATATTTATCAAACATACGGCCTTAATCAAACGGAAACAATCGCGAACCACATTAGGCATATTTCACCGACAAAAATATTCATGTGATTTTGTGACCCGTAAAAGAGTGCTGCATTTGGCTAATAAATGATGCAATGAAAACGAGCTTGTTTGCCTCATTGACTTCTTGATACAGATAATATTTTCAATGTGACTACTCAGACACACGGAAGAGTACAAAGCGACACTTGGACAGTACTTCCTTGGGTAGGGCAACAAACATCAATAATTTTAGTGTACACATGGTGATCACGATAGTGTAATCACTATTATTGTCATCATGAGTATCCCAAGATTACCGTTATTTGATCGATCACAGAGTTGCCAAGTTGTTGTCTATCCATGTGCAACTCATATTAGTGAACCCCCCCCCCAACACCAGAGTAGCGCCGAGCGGACATAACGTACAAAACCAAATGCATAATTCACCTACCATGGTACCGACAGAGGACTTTCCAAAGACGTTTCCGTCTGTCTGTGTTTCGGCCTCCACGGCGATCTGCGTCGTGTGGACGTTCCGACCACGCAGCATTTCGATCTCGTCCGTCAATTCAGTCACTTTGGCTTGAAGGGCATCCTGAAAAAACCGAACAGAAACGTAATCCACACAGCAACAGCTATGAGATGAAGATAACAGAAATCATCAGGAAGCAGTCGGGTTAGCAAAAAAGAAAGTGACAACGAAAAGCTCTTCCCAATGCCTCTACATGATCTGGGTATTACAGGCATTGATCGAACTCGTGTGAAACTTTCACTTGATCTCTACCTCCCAACACCTAGCCTTTTTAGCTTCATTCATGAGATTCAAAATGGTAGTAACCACATGAAACTATTTTTAGAGTCAGATAACGGTTGCTGGAGCACCAGTTGCAAAATAACGAAATCTTAATGGAAAAATTTAGATTAACAAGCTTGGATTAGCCCATTTGATTGTTCAGAGGCACCAGGCACTCTTGATGGTCTTGGGTGTGGGTTTCACTCCTTGGGAGAGCGTTAATTCCCCGAGAGACAATACATTCAAGAGTGTCTGGTGCCTCTGAACAATCGAATGGGCTAATCCAAGCTTGATACTCTAAATTGATTAGGCCATTCGCACAAGGTGATGACCATCGGCCGTGTAGCTCAGGGGTAAGGGTTTGAAATCCCGACCCGACAGATCGCGGTTCGAGTCCTGACAAGTAAACACTGCTGACGAGTCCCAAACAAGACGAAACAGTTGTCCAGTGCTCTTTGTTGGTTGTCACAAACATTTCAATCGCATTTTAATGGAAAAACATCATGAAGATATTTTTTTGAATGACACAGGTACCGTAGTTTCGTTTTATAAATATCCTTTGTATTCTCTCTCATTTTCGAGCGCTCGAGCCAGTAGTCATTGCACAGGGTAAACGTAAGTGACAATCACATCAAAATTGTCAGTTTCCTCTAGAAAAAACCGCATCATGGTTACTGAAGACAGCTCTTTCGAGGTAGCTAACTCATCTCTGTCTTCAACGTTTTCGATTAAATTCGGATTCGGGTTGTCGGGCCCTAAGTGAATAAATCATACCGAAAACTGTATAAATGCGAAAACAGTATATTTTTCATCACACACCTTAGTGAGATGAACAGCAGACGGGGTAAATCCCGTAGTCACGAGGATCAGTCATGGAAAACGGGAACCTGAGCCTCGGCAGCTTGAAGGGGCTAACCACATAAGGCCCCGCTTGGTTAGGAGTTGTACTGAACCGGACAACTCCAAAGGTGCTTACGACCAAATATATAATGCGGTCTACAAATTTCCATCAAAAGCCTTGCGTGATACGTGGTATTAGGAATTAGTTTGAGAAAGTATGACTATTTACGATTGCACTTCGAGAATGATAGGCAAGGAAAACCTGCTTCATTAGAGTAATAAATTTTGCACTGACCACAGTGCCCGCGACGGGAGCCCAACAAGGTAATTAGTATAAAGTTCCCATCAAACTCATCAGACTGGACGAATACTTTATTTTCACCGGCGAAACGGATCTCTTCAGAAAACCTGGTCAATAGATCAACCTGCTCCAACTGGTGACATGCTCGTCAATCACTAGACATTCGTCAGTACGATAGACCGAAAAGAAAGCGACGGCCGATGTGAATTGAA